AATCTTAACCTGGATTCAGAAAAACTCCCAGCAAAATGAGCCAACGGCCAGGAAGAGGCTGCTAAGCAAGGGAAATGAGTGATTCAGTTCACAAACACAGATCAACAAAAAAGAAGGCTGGGAGAAAAGTTAAAAAACACTCACGCCCCATCATAAACCTTCCCTAATGTTGAATTTCACATGTTCTGATTCTTAATTTAAAACCTGAAACTTACCAAAGATCAGTAACAAAGAGCAAAGGTGTGTGTGTGTAGGTGGGAGGGTAGGAAGAAATCAACATGGTCTACTGTAAACTAACTAAAATACACAGAAAAACTTTACCTGGCCTCTCTCAGGAGGCCAGGCGAGAGAGCTAAATGCCCTTTCACAGCCAGCTCAAGTCATAAACTCAATACCCAGGGAATATTAGGTCAGCAAGGGCCTGACTATACACCAGCTGGTGTTACCACATCTTTCACACTTACCAGCAATAGTAATATCTTGAAAAACTTTGCCTCACAGGTCTTTTTATTACTTTTCCCAGTTGCTCAAATAAAGTTACACTCTACTTTAAGAAACCTGCAGTGGCTTCATCCACGATCACTCTTGGCACTACGAATGGGACCTGCTTAGTAAGCAGAGCTTCTAGGTGGAACTGCTGCTCCTGCAGGTTTGTGCAGCTCCTGTTGGCTTTGCAGGCTCTTCAGGGTGCCCCCGTATTCACCCACTCCATCTACGCAGTAGCAGTGTCGCCCCCATTTGACCTACAAAGGCAACAAGGCAATTTCCAACTGATACTTAGCATGGAAATTGCTTCTTGGTGATACCAGGTTTAAAACAGAAGAAAAAAGAAAAAAGAAATCTTATTCTACTGGGTTGGCGAAAGGGAAAACGTGAACACAAATATCTTTTCAGTCTCTATGGATCCTGCATGAGTTACAACTGAGTTCAGAAGTCTAATTTCTCTATATGAGCCCATATCCTGGTTGTCCAGTCACAGGAAGAACAGGTTCTCACACAGCTGGATGGCTGGTTCATGATGCAAGATTTGTCCTGACAGGAAAGCTAGCTTGTGGGCATACTTGCAAGGTGCTGGAACTCTGATGGTACCAGGCCAATTCCAGTACATGTGGCATAGTTTGAAAGTCAACCTGTAGGGCAAGAAGAAAATATGATTCTTATGACTCTTCACCTTCAATTTGGGGCATGATTATGTACTTATGGGTGTACACTTTCCAGCAAACTGGGGAACTAAGGAATACATGATGCAACTTTGTTTTTAACTTTTTTATATGAAGCAACTTTTGGGAATCATTATTTTTAAGTAGAATCATTTCTATTTCCACTATTTGTAATTCAAGAGGACATGGGTAAATTCTCTCACTCTAGGCTCCCCCACCCTGCCACCCTGCCTTTTTTTTTTTTTTTTAAATCAAAACAAGGAAAACAAGGAGGAGTTTTTTTTTGCCTCAAAAATAGGCTGCAGAAAAGTAAGTACCCCAGCGAAGTATTTATACCATCTGAGCTTAGGGGCTTTGGGTCTCATAATCATCCAGAGCAGATTTTAAATGTACGAATGCCTCAGAATTCTTGGGGGTGACTGGAAATCAGTATATTTTTTAAAGCTTTTCAAACAAATAATTTTAGTTTACAGCAAAGATTACCAATCACTCCTCAAAAAGATACCATCAGCATGAAAGACATAAAGAAACTCAAGACTAAATATTCCTGGAGGTGGGCAGTGACTCTACCTTACCAGGCCAGACAGATTTACGAGTGAGAAAGAGTGAGATACTGGTCAGCTCACCTCTGCATATGATCGGGACTCAGGTTTGCCGTGTTGAGAACACACACATAATGGGTAGGAATGCCACAACCCTGCCGTACGTGATGGGCAAGAAGGTAGAAGTCCACCCTAGTAAGGGAAGAGGACAAAGTAATGAGATGCTTGGATCTGGCTAAACAGAGATGGAAAAGATCTTGGAGATCATGGTAGCTCCTTCATCTAAGGCTCAGAGGGGTCAAATGACTGGCTCAAGGACACACAGGGACCAAACCATGATTAGAACTCAGGTCTCTTGACTCAACAGGCTATTCAAAAATGAGGGGAGAAACTGCCATTTCTTTGTGCAGCACATTAAGCACGCATGCCCTCAGGGTATGGTTCAATATTCTATACTTACCAGGTAAAAACTTTATTGTTGGTTTTTTGGGTTTTTTTTTCCCCGAAGAGTTTTCAAAGCTTTATTTTTTAACAGTAACATCTCTGAGGATTCCATTCCATATCTCTCCAGGCAACCTACCCACTCCATTACCCAGGGAATGGATAACTTTTGCAACCTAGTCTTGCTGAAATGCCATGTTTTGTCCACTTACCACTCACAGCTTGTTATTGTATGATCCACCACAGTCCCAGGGGAGGGGGTCACAAAGTGCTCAGTAGCAGCCAGGTACAGATTGGTACTGATTTTCTTCTGAACTACGAATACCACCATCTTGGGCTGATAATTCTCAAAAGCTTCAAAACACTTTTGTAGCTGAGGAATCTCATAGTTGGCAACTGTCTTTAGCTGGCCATCAGACACTCCATCACGGTACACCACAATCTTCTCTGGGAGACAGTGGTTCACCTGAAATGACACCTACTGAGGTGAGCATGGAGCCCTGGGGCTAATGACCACAGGCAGTGGGAGGCCCGCTCAGAGCACTGCCTGGAGACGCAGCAGGAGATCCCTTTGGCAGCTCGGCTCAAAGCTACCACGTCAGAAGGGCAGGGGGGAAAAGCTTCTTGTCATTTCTATACTTCCTCAAGACAGTGAAAGAGGCCTGGTACAGCAAAGGCATTATAAAATATGAAAACAAAATAAGCAAGTTATGAGTCACATGCATATGGCTCACACTCAACAGTGTGAACAAAGTTAGAAGGAATGGTAGGAAAACTATAGGCTGAATCAATCTTCCTTCTACTTGGATTTAATACTAATTACTGTCTAGGCCAAGAACAAGGTGAAGAACAAGGTGAGCCGTTAAAGAAATCCTACCATAGACCACAAGGCCCATAGATCCATTCTCCTCATGTTTTTATGTACCAGCAACAGCCAAAGTTGCTAACATGTGAAAGGGTCCTTTCCTAAATATCCTACAATCAGGTATAATGTGAAACATTTTTACTGTAAGTAATTAGCAAACGATCATGGTAAATTGTCCACAGATCCAAATCAAATTAAATGCTGGCTTGAGTCGGTTTGAAGAATCATTTTTTTTCTCCATTTAGAAAATAAAATTATGTTCTGGTTGTGTTCAATAGTTGGAGAATAAGATGTTCCATTTTAAACTAGAAGTTCTCTGAGAAGTGCTTTATTTAATTCAGTCAATAAGTGACAGTGTAATTCTAATTGAGTGTGACTCAATCTAGGTTTTTGTTCACAAAACCTAAATTATCATTGAATTAAATATGCCCATACTCTACATTCTTTATAGGCTACTCTACATGAAAATTTAAGTTTCATTTCAAAGAATCTTTTTTAAAATAATCACCTAGACTCTTTTTAGAGCTGAATTTCAGAATTTCAAGTGTTTTATAAATGTTCCTTTTTTTTTCTGAGAGACACCTCAAGTACTACATTCACAAACGTGTAATTCATCTTTACATTTCAAGATTAAAATTACCACCCCAGTTTGTAGCATTTTTTTGTTTCTGTGTTGTTTTAGGCCGTCTAACATCTATCTCACTTTTTTCGGTCGGAGCAGTTAGTTTCCTCCTGCCTCAAATAGGACAGTCTGGTGGGACTATTAATTGCGGTGCCTTCTAACCCAGGCTCTCTCGACCACAGCACTACTGACATGTGGGGCTGGATAATGCTTTGTTGTTGGGGGCTGACACTATAGGATATTTAGCATTATTCCTACCCACTAGATGCCAGTAGCAATCTCCCCCAGTCCCTAGACGCTGCCCACTGGGAGGACAAAACCGCCCCCAGCTGAGAACCATTGCACTAACTGAAGAACACAGATGACTCAAGCCACACCAACAGAATGCTCCTCACTTACTCTGAATCTTGAGCAGAGGACGAAAATCACTTGAAGTTTGATCCCTCTGGAGTGGTACCGCTTTAGGTCCCTGCTTCTGGAACTCTAGGAGCTACCCTGTCTCCTGTTCATTTCCCAGCTTGCTGCTCAACCTTCTCACCAGTCCTCTGAGACGCTCCATGACCTTAACAATTAATTCCCCTTTTGCTAACGTTAGCACAGTTCTGTGATTCCAAAGAACTCCAACTGATATGCTGTGTTAAAAGGTGGGTACCACAGGCACCTAGACCTGGAAGAAACCCTCATTTCACAGATGAGGAGACAGAGAGGAAGTACACTGGATCCACAGCCAGCTGGCCTGGGACTGAGTGTGACTCTGCTGCTCTTCACCTACAATCTTTTTCTTTTTTTTAAGTATGTTTGTTTGTTTTTTAAAAGCCTACAGCACCTGGTCTTTCTAAGTGGTCTCCCATCCAAGTACTAACCAGGCCTGACCCTGCTTAGCTTCCGAGATCAGACGAGATCGGGCGTGTTCAGGGTGGCATGGCCCTAGACCAGCTATAATCCTGAAGACTCGGTATCCTCAGCTGAAAAAGTAGAGATAAGTGACCACTTTATCTTCTTCTCAGGATTAAGAGGGACAAAGTAAAAAACTATATATTTTAAATATATGCATATATTTAAAGCTGTACACAAAAATTGAGACTGGGCTACATTAAGGAAGTAGAGATATTCTGAAGCACAGAGATGACACATAATGAGATCAATGGAGTGAAAAATAGGATCAAATTCATTTGAAGTATTCACTGACTTTAGAAGGCCAACCCAAATGTGAGGCCCTGTACTCCACCCTACGTGAGCTTCCAGTGAAAGGCCTGATTCCTATTATCAAGGAACTTAAAAGTCTAATTACAGTCAACAATGGTAACTTTTCTAGGTCATCTAGCCCATTCTCATCACTCCATAAATGATAAAACTGTGGTCTAAGGAGGGGTCAGAATATGTGACAAATGACAATATTGACATACAAATGTTAAATGTACTGCATATTATTAAAGTACTTCATATATGAAACAATAAATTAAAGAGTACCTTGAAAGCAGGATTGTGCTTGTTTGATTAGTATCTCTAACACTGGGTACAATGTCAAGGGTCAAGTAGAAAATAAATATCTGCTGAAAGTCTGAGATTTTTTTTATGTGTGGCTCCATTCATTCATAGAACACACACTTAATGTCCTCTAGATATGAGCCATTGTGCTTATCTTGGAAAATTAGAAAATTACTTCAATCCCATCCAAATATTCATGGAAGTCAGATTAGAACTGGGAGACAGATGCATAATGCAAATACTCTCAATACATTATAAATGACATAATTAAGGTTTAATTAAAATACTATAAGAACAGAGAAGTATAAGACATTTGTTCTCTGGAAAGAAAAGTGAACATTATGCCTCAGGAAAAGGCATGATGAAAGAATTAGGAGACAATTCAGTCAGCAAAGAAGGGTAAAAGAATTCAAGTAGAGCATGAGCAAAAGCCTAGATTGTGACCAGATAAGGGTTAAGCAAATGAATGACTGACCTATATGATCAATCCCACATTTAGATAATTACTCTGCAATGGTCTATAAAACAGATTGAAGGTGATTGAGAATGACTATTAGGAGATCACTTCCAGTTCAAGTTGTCAAAAGCTATAGATAACCTTCATTCCCATGGTAACACAAGAAAAATCAACATAATGTGAAAATCAGACATATATGTGTGACAAGCAAACACCAGCAGTTACATAAAGCCTGATAAACTGATTTCCAGAAAGAGGAGGCTTCGCAGGTGAGCAGTGAACTGAAGATTTCAAGGGACAAATGCCTGAAGTGTGTATGGGCATCAGGAAGAGGAGATCTGAGGTCTAAGGAAGTTTACCAGGTCAACAAGAGGCCAGACACACAGGATTCTGGGGAGACGGCTGAGCTGGAAGCACCAGGAATCTGTCTCCCCACCTAGATAATAACAACTGCATTGGCAGAATCTGTCTGATGTAACTATTTTGGAACTCTAGAGTCTGTTGAGAGCTTGCAACCTTTAAGGAAGACTTGGACAGTAAATTGCCATAAGACCAGCTCTTAGCACAACAGCAGCTCTCCAAACCTCACCCTCAGCTACATTTCAGGATCCTGTCCTACAAATATTAGGATCTGTGCTGACTGTTGATTGCTGCTTCTGATCACAGGAGTGTCGACAAAGAGGCTGGTGGCCACTGTTGTTGCACTTCCCCCTCCAGCTGAAGTGACTTCCAGGGGATTTAACAGACTGATACCCTTCCTTCTTCCTCTCCCCTTACTTTTTCTCCTTGTCCTCTTTTTGGTGTCAGACACTAAAGACTAGAACATTAAAAAAACAACTACATATATAGGGGAAAATTAGAAAGTGACCAAACAAGCCCAGGGAAAGGCTCACAAAAGACCTAAGAAGACCTTAAATTTACACTGCAAGCTGAACCCCAGCACAGACACAGCCTGTAATGATCAGAAAACAAAAAGAATAACAAGAAACAGCAAATCCCAGGGAATGAAGAGGATCTGATTTCCAGAGTTACCACATTATTAGATTAAAAAGTCCAGTTTTCAACAAAAAGTCACAAAGCATAGGGAAAAAAAAAACAGAAAAGAGTGGCCCATTCAAAAGAAAATATTAAATCAACAGAAATTGTTGCTAAAAAAGATCTGGTGGGAGGTATACTAGCCAAAGACTTTAAAACAACCACCTTAAAGATACTCAAAGAACTAAAAGATATGGAGAAAGTAAATAAAACAACGTATTAAAAAATGGAACTATCAATAAAGAGAAAACCTAAAAAGTAACCAAAAAAAAAAAAAATTCTGGAGCTGAGAGGTATCTTAACTGAAATAAAAAATTCACTAGATGAATCGAAAGGCAGATATGAGCAGGCAGAAAAATCACTGAACTTGAAAATCGGACAATGGAAATTATCAAATCTGTGGAACAGAAAGAAAAGACTGAAGAAAAGAGAAGAGAGACTAAGAGACTTATGAGATAGCAGCCAGTGGACCAACATACACATCATGGGAGTCCAAGAAGGAGAAGAAAGAGGCAGAGAGAATATTTGAAGAAATAGTGGCTGAAAACTTCCTAAATCTGATGAAAGACAATAATATAAATATTCAAGAAGCTTGATGAACTCTAAGATGAATTTAAAGAGACCCACAGAAAGACACATTATAATCAAAATTTCAAAAGCCAGAGATAAACAATCTTGAAAGCAGCAAGACAGAAGCAAATCATCACATACAAGGGATCTTCAAAAAGATCATCAGCAGCTTGCTCATCAGAAACTTTGGAGGCCAGAATGTAGTGTGCTGATACATTCAAAGTGCTAAAGGAAAAAACTCATCCAAAACTTACTTCTGACAAAGTCTTCCTTCAAAAACGAGAGGAAATTAAGACATTCCCAGACAAACAAAAGCTGAGGGAGTTTGTTACCAATGGACATGCCCTGTAAGAATGAGATGAAAGAACACCAGATAGTCATGTGAAGCTATGTGGAGGAATAAAGATCTCAGTGAGGACAAATATGTGG